CAGATTCCTCCTCCTCCTCCTCCTCCTCCTCCTCCTCCTCCTCCTCCGCCTCCGCCTCCGCCTCCGCCTCCGCCTCCTCCGCCAATGCAGCTGCTTCTGCCTCTTCCGCCAATGCAGCTGCTTCCGCTGCCGCCGTCGCCTGTGCTGCCGCAAGAGCAGACGCCTCCGCCGCCCTCGCCTCCGCCGCTGCTGCCTCCTCCTCCGCCCTCGCCCTGATCGCCTCCGCCTCCGCCTCCGCTGCCTCCTCCTCCACCCTCGCCCTCACCTCCGCCTCCGCTGCCGCCCTCACCTCCGCCTCCGCTGCCGCCCTCACCTCCGCCTTCGCCAACGCCCTCGCCTCCCGCGCCCTCGCCTCCGCCCCCGCCTCGCCGTCGCCTCGCGACGAACCCTCTGCCAATGCCAGCAGCGCCTCCATCTCTGCCATCAGCCCGTCGCCAGCCCCGCCCCCGCTCCCTCTCCCTCTCATGTTGCACGGGTTTGCCCGGCCGCCGTCAAAGGCCCCGCCACCATCGACAGCCGCCACCGCCGCTGCGCCCGCCGCCGCCGCCGCCGCCGCCGCCGCCGCGCCCGCCGCGCTGCCCGCCCTCGCCGCCGCCTCGAAGCTCGCCTGCTCCAGCGAGATCCGCCGAGATCGCCCGAGATCGCCCGAGATCGCCCGAGATGAGCCGAGATCAGCCGAGATCGCCCGAGATCGCCCGAGATGAGCCGAGAGCAGCCGAGACCGGCTCGCGGCTCGCGCCTGCACCATCGCCCGCTCGTGCCTCGCCCTCGCGGCCTCGAGAGTGACGGCGAGGCGGTCGGCGGCGGCTCGCGCCTCCTCCGCCTCCGCACTGCTCCCCTCACCCACCTTCCCCTCCCCCGCCCGCTCCCGCTCAGCCGCAGCGGAGTTCGCGTCCCAACGGCTGTTCCGGAACTTTCTCCGCACGTCGCGCGAGGAGGCCGCAGCGGAGGCCGCCGCCGACCCCTCCCTCTCGCGTCGCCGCGCGGCGGCGGCGGCGAGCGCCTTGGCCGACAGCGGCAGCGCGCTGGGCAGCTCACCGCTGCGCAGGGCAGTGGAGGCGGCCAGGGCATGATCCTCGAGTCGGTCTAGCCTGCAGGAAAGGGTCCGAGAAGGGTGTCCGAGGAGGCTCCCGCGTGCCGTCTTCCGCCTGTGGACGAGTCGCGCCGCTGCACCAGCCCCTCGCCGCCGCCGACCCTCCCGCCGAGAGCCGCCTCGAGCGCCTCTAGCCGCTGCGGCAGTCGGCTCTCCCCAGCCGGAGGGCAGCCTGCAGGAAGGGTCCGGGAAGGGTCCGGGATCCAAAGGCGGCCTCTTCCGCCCGGGGCGGAACCCGCGGCCCTCAGCGCCGAGGCTCGCCGCCGCGAACCCCTCCAGCCGCGAGAGGCGGGCAGGCGCCGACTTGCCGGCAGCCGCCTCAAACACACTCTGCCTACAGGACGGTTCCGTGCGGCGTCGAACGCCCAGTTCCGCCGGTCCGGCGGCCGGTACAGAGATGCGCTGCCTGCCGCCCCGGTGCAGAAGCAGCTCTACTCTACCGCGAGCCTTCCTGAGGGCGGCCGTCGCCGCCTCGTGCCCCATTGGCAAGCGAGCGCCACCGAGAGAAAGGAGGACGTCGCTCGAGCGGAGCACGCCGTGAGCGAGTCCACCCTCAAAGGTGGTGACGACGACGGCGTACTGCGTGCCGCCCAGCCGCACGCCCCACTTCCCGCCGTCGCACTCGAAGGAAAAGGAGAGGACGCACGATGCCACATCGTCATCGCACACAGGCTCGGCTCGACCTCGACTGCCACGGCTGCCGCGGCCTCCAAGGCCACGTCCGCGACCTCCCTTTCTTCCGCGACCACCTCTTGCGAGGGCTGGGCTCTGGCCTGGCATATGGGCCGAGGCAGGACTTGAGGGGCCAAGTCGCGCGTGTTTTTCTTCCAAATTTGCTCCACAGGCCTGTCATCTGTGTTTCGCCTTCCCATCAATCAATCAATGTCATCTCAAGGGCCAAGGCTGGAACGGGCCCCTCCGACCCGTCTAGAAACACGGACCAAGGAGTCTGACACGTGTGCGAGTACCCGGGTGGCAAGCCCGCGTGCGGAATGAAAGTGAAGGGGGGCCCTGCCAACCGACCTTGACCTGCTGTGAGGGGTTTGAGTGGAGCACACCTGTCGGGACCCGAAAGATGGTGAACTATGCCTGGGTAGGGTGAAGCCAGAGGAAACTCTGGTGGAGGCTCGTAGCGATACTGACGTGCAAATCGTTCGTCGAATCTGGGTATAGGGGCGAAAGACTAATCGAACCATCTAGTAGCTGGTTCCCTCCGAAGTTTCCCTCAGGATAGCTTGAACGCAACGGTTTTGTCAGGTAAAGCGAATGATTAGAGGCCTGTGGGCTGAAACAGCTTGCACCTATTCTCAAACTTTAAATGGGCAAGAGGCCCGGGATGCTTGAGTGATCCCGGGCGGCGAACGGCGCGTTCAAAGTGGGCCATTTTTGGTAAGTCGAGCTCCCAGGCGAGCGCGAACGCCTCGCGCATCTTGGTCACGCCCTCGGCCACAGCGTTCGCGTCGCACAGAGCTTCGCCCTCGA